TTCGTATATCACCAATAGTGCCGTAGTGAAAAAGGCACTAAACCATACAACTGTTACACTCAGGCTTGGGTTTCGGATACACGCGTTGTGTCTCATCTCAGCCGTGTATAGTAGTGCATGATTTCCGCTCCCTACTTTTTGATACTGCTCACACCAGTTTCTCTTGTGATTCAAAAGGAGTTGCAAGTCTTTTCGTGCATGGAAGCCATCATTTACACGTGAATCTGTACACGGCGTGCTCGTCGTGTTTCACCGCTCGGTTTTTCTCACGGAAGCTTTAGTGGAAATAATGTTGAATAATATCAACCAAAAAGTTTGACATCGTCATTTTTCTTGTGTTTCAGAATCTATCATCTGCAGGCTTCTCGTTGCGTGTTTGCGGTTAACTGCCCGATGAGGATTTTTTCGACCTGTTTGGGCGTTTTCTCTGGAAGCTTTGTGTTGAAAGTGTTTGGTTAACACTGAACAGATACTGAATTGTATTTTATTGATATTGCTATGGGCATTCTGTTTCTGCCGACCAAATTCCGTTTGCAAGCATTTTCACTGCTCACAGTTTTCGCCTGGAATCAGAGTTTGACCATTCTCGAGTTGTGTGATTGGGTTTGAGTGTCCCAAGGTACTTGGAATTCCCCCTTAGCGGAATTCATGCTTCGCTGATATAATACATATCGGATCTATTTGGTGACACTGTTCCATCCACGCAGCAAAGTGACCTTTTGTCGATTCCCTACTTCACCTCTATAAACACGGCTGACGTCGCTACGGCCGGTCTGGTACGTTCGATCGTACTGTACGGTTGCGAAACCTGGCCCCTAAGATCGGCGGACATGAAGAGGCTAGTTACGTTCGACCATCGGCGCCTTCGCAGTTTGGCTCACATCTGATGGGAACACCGAGTGTGCAACGAGCGTGTTCGACGCCTTGTTTACGGCACAGGAAGAGGAACTGAACCGCTCAGCACCGTCATTTCACGCACTAGGCTCCGATGGCTGGGCCACTTGTTGCGCATACCAGCCCATCGACTTCCATGACGTGCATTGTTTGCTCACCGGGGAGGTGGATGGAAGAAGAGGAGGGGTGGCCAAGCGATGACTTTGGGTGGAATTCAAGAATCCGTTTTATCGGGATTTGTTGCTTAGCCGAGCTGGTGTAATTGCAAATCATACTAAAGGTCGATATCACATAGCAGAAGATACAGCAGTTTCAAAGGAAAAAATTTGCTCAAACAATTCTAAGGAATAATATTATCAATGAGTATGCATTAGCTATCGTGGCTCCTGTTCAAGAGCACTGTGATAGCAAATTAGTTGATGGCCGTGTAGGTGAAACTGGGGGGTACGAACGACCAACAGACAAGTTGGTGATCACCCTCATTTAGCAACCCCCGTCTGCGAAAGGGATCGAAACTCTCTTCTTGTTGAAAGAATTGGAGATCGTACTTTTTATATGACTGCTGAACATGTGGAGTCAGAAAGTGCAAGTTCATTATCGGCAGTAGAAAATAGGCCTGATACAGTGGCCTGAACGCCGTGGCTAGTTTCGGGCAATCGAAAGCATCTAATGCTGCAGATTCTGATGCAAGAGAACTGACATCTTTCACTGTGGACAACTCATCAGTGGAGGGTAAAAGAGAGGTCACTTAAATGGAGGCAAAGGTGCCCATATTGGTAAAAAAAATGATTAGCGTAGTTCGGCCTATTCAAAAGCAACAAAAAAGACAAATGGCGGACGAACCAAAAATGTAGCTCTGTTGAAGCTGCAAAAGCAGGACTCATCCTGTGGGGTTCTGCTAGGACCCGTTACTGATCCAGAGAGTCGGGCAAGTGAAGCAGACAATCGTCTTGAAAACGTCTCAAAAAACGTGCAATCCGCTCGGGTCTCACACCCGAGGGGAAGCTTAGAGGTTTGATGGAGGATCAGCGAGGGGAGCTAAGAATGTGGTACACTAACTATTTCAGCATAAGGAATAAGTGGGAAGAACTGACGGTAAGTGGTAAACTTGCTGATGTGGTTGCAGTTACTGAAACTAGGCTCTTCCGGAGTGATCCACTCTGTAACTTAATGTATGGCTTCCCTAAATATAGTGTGGACAGGCCTGGCCATCAGGCAGGTAGGGGTATGCTTTTGCTTATCAAGAGCCACTACTCGAATTGTGAGGCCCCATTCTCCATGTCCATATCTAGTATCCAAGCCGTTTCGTGTTTTCTGTGGTTGGATAGACGGTTGGAAATAATTATTTGCGTGTATCGTAAGTCCATCCTCTACGCGAGTGGAAGATACGGAGCTTAGTAGGCTGCTCAAATAAGCAGTGGTAACTGCACCGAACTTTGTGGTCATCGGTGTCTTGAATCTTTCGCATGCAGATTGGGTCTGTGCAACGAACACGATAGATACTCTATAGCGAGACCTGGTAGAATGGGTGCATGAGAGTGCTTATGTCCAGTATGTTAACTTCACGACGAGGAAACTGGTTGGTTGTACTCCTTCAACACTGGATGTTGTGATAACCAGATGTGGTCACTTGTCAGAGGTACACGCCGAGGCTCCCATCGGTACTAGTGATTACTGTTTTATTACTTCTCGTTAACTTCAAAAAGTCTTCGACAGAACGTCGATTTGTGAGGAATCTGGGCCGCATTAACCTCACTCATTTACGAGACCGAGCCCTGCAGATAGACTGGTTTCCTGAACCAAGACAGGCCACCTTAGAGCACCGTTGGAACTTGAAGCTTGTCCAGTTATTAGATGAGTTTGCTCCGTTTAGGCCGAAAAGGCATGATGCCAAGCCGCGTTGTTTGCACCGAGGAATAGATCAAGCGATTAAGCAGGGGAACGATTCTTGGAAGAAGTTTCAGGCACTTGGAGTGTTTAGACACTGGCTGCATCACATAAGATGCTATAATTTAGCTGTCAAATTATAAAGGAAAGCGCAGTACTGCTTTGAGCTTCGATTAGCTCAGCATGCGAAAACGAAGCCCAAGTTGCATTACAGTTACCTTCAGTCAAAAATATCTTTGAGAGATTGAGTTGGTAACCTGACCATGGAGAGCGGAAGTCATGCTACAGAAGTTGCGTATAAGTCAGAGGTGCTGCTGCGTATTTTTCAGAAAGTGCATCGTGTGGATGAGGGGTGTCCAGTCCCTTCACAACCGCGTCGTCAAACCGTGAGTACAATATCAGCCAATCCGCTAACAGTGTCAGCGCTCGTTAACGTACTGTCTAGCTTAGACCCCAACAAATCGGAGTGACCAGACAACATGCATCCTGCGATTGTCAAACCACTCACTGGAATACTCCAGTACCCGGTTTTGGGGCCCTTCAACGCGTCTTTTCGAGATGACAGATTACCACAAGACTGGAAAGAGACATCTGTAGTGGCGATACATAAGGGTGGTTCCAAATCTGTACCCGTCAAGTATGGGCCTGTCAGCCTCAAAAGCATGTTGCTTAAATGTTTGGAGAAGCTTATCAGAAGCCGAATTTGTGAGTACTCAGTTGCTCATAACAAGATAGCAGTGGAACAACACGGCTTTGTCAAGAAGTCATGCCTTACCAAGTTATCGTGCTGCTTGGATGAAGTTACACGTTGTCTTAATAATGGGATTTCAGTAGAGGGTTGCTATCTTGACTTCAGCAAGGCCTTTGATTCGGTAAACCGCCGTTTCCTACTAATGAAGCAGGCCTGGCTTGGGATTCATCTGCAATTGTTGAATTGGAGATCAATAATTCTTTTAGGAAGAAGCTTCCTGGTTAGTTGGTGAAGACATCTCAGGTATAAGCACCGCTCACAGTGGCGTCCCCCAAGACTCTGTTTTAGGCCTCCTAATATAGCTAACATTCACAAATGATGGCACCTATACTTGCAGACTGCTATATCTGTGTCGATGACCCGAAAACGGTTAGCAGGAGTAATAAGGACACCTTGTCCAAAGAACTCACCATTGTAGCAGTGGTCTGTCGCATGGGATTTGTCCCTTAACATCACTAAATGCCTGATGCTGACTTCCAGCAATGACAGGGTTGTAGTGCAGATATTTGCCAGAACCCTGACATTGCAGCTTGTTTAAAAATCACGGGAGCTAGGTGTCATTATTACGAATAACTTCAAACCTTCAGCTCAATGTCAGATTGTTGCCAATAAAGGGCGACAGGAACTTGCGCCTCAAGAAAAAATTCCTCCCATTATATACAGCGGTGGTACGACCTCACATAGAATACTGTGTCCAAACGTGGGTCTCCAGAAGGATGTTATTTGTATAGAGAAGGTACAGAAGCTGGCGACTAGAACGAGTGTGGGCCAACGTGAAAAGCCGTATTATGAACGCCTAAAGAGCTTGGAATTGTCTTCTATGGAAAGGCGTAGATTGAGAGGAGATTTAATAGAGCTATTTCGGATCATGAGGGGTCTCAGTGGTATCAAGCCTACCGACCTGTTTGAGCCAGCTACATCAGATCATCTGAGAGGTCATCATTTTAAGCTCAGGCATCGAGGGTCTCGACTAGGTATCGAGGGAAATACTTCGCGAACCGCGTTGCCGGCAGTTGGAACAAGCTCTCCGCTTTGTTGGTGAACTGTACAACGGTTGACGCCTTCAAGAGAAGTTTAGACAGATGGTACATAGAATTTTTTTCCAGAACTATTGTAAACTTATTGATGCTCGTTGCTGAGAACTCATGAAGGATGAACGTACAAGATTGCTTCGTTTTGCATCATTTTCTTTGCAGAAGCAAGAAATGCAATTGGAAGTCAAAGTACCGGGGGCCCTTGGTTGCTTGCCGGTGCAAGAAGCAGGACGCTCGTTAGGCGAAAGCCTATACGGTTTTGTGAAACTGACCTGACCTTCCAGACTTCCCAGTTAAGGTAATGGGTCCTAGTAAATTGGCAGTAATAGTGAACAAAAAGTGCGCAAAGATTTTTGGATTCCGCAAAACTTACTTATAATTTTTTAAAAGTCGGCTAAATTATGAGCAAAAATACACGTCAACTTCACACTCACATCTGTAATATGCGTCCGGTCGAGGGTTCCAAGGGCTTCTGTGTCCGGGGCGTACGCGGGTCGTATTAGACCGAGGGGAGCTGAAAGGTAAAGAAGATACTCCGTAGGCGGCTGCAAAACGACCTAGTAAGTGTCGGAGCTGGATGGATGGTGTGCTTGGGTTACATCTCGTGGCCAGATAGGCGGTACTGTCACAGCTGCCAAAAGAGGACCGAGCGCGAGACAACTAGACGAAGGGCGTGAAAGTATAGTGGAGGGAAGGCTAGTCCTAGACTACCGCACCAGAAGGAAGGAATCAATGTCAGATAAAAGATAGGAATACGCTGACCGGATGGGCTAACCACAAATGTTTCACATTCCCTGACGGAATAGCCGAAGGATGATACTCCACAGTGTCGGTTCCTCGAAGCTCAAACGTCCCAGGCACACAAACGCAACAAGCACAACATGCCACCTCAGGAAAGCAGAACGCGCCGTTGAAGGTCGAGAAAAAGTGTATCGGAAAAACCGGTCAATTAAAACTACTGTACAATACCGATTGAAAAACGATGTAAGATAAAGCGCAGAAAATTACAAATCTATGAACACTACAGGACTCCCTCCCTAGAGCGTGAGTGAGCAAGCAAATACTTGAAATCCACGTCTCACTGATTGTAAAACGCTAGTTTAGAAGGGGGACCACTGTACGACCAAAACATGTGCGTTTGTGTGTCTGAGTGGTTGTGGTGGGTGTCGAAGGGGATTGCGAAGTAGGTACACTGGGATCACACATAGGCTGCGTAGGAGAGGTGCTCGGCGATGGATCATTATCGGGAACAGATGTGACTGTAGATTGCTGCGAAGTAGGAAGTTCGATGTAAGCAAGTTTCAAACGATCGATGCTCACAGTCTTTGCAGTCATTTCGGTCCAATACATAATAATTGTCCTTGCGTTCGATAACTGTGTAAGGGCCGTCGTACGGTGGTGCCAGAGGCTTACGAACAGTATCGATGCGCACAAGAACGTAGGGGCAATCGCGAAGATCAGGATGCACCTGTGGATTACAAGACCTGAGTCGTGGTGTTGGGCGTACCGAGCTAAAATGACTTCTCAGGCGTGTGACAGGAGGTTGGATCTACTTCGCCAGTGACGCTTGAATCCAGCACCAACTCTATAGGAAGTCTAAGTGGTGTGCCAAAACCTAATCCAGCGAGGCAAAAGCCTATATCTTTCTTGACAGTGTTACGTATGAAAGCACGATTATTAGCAAACGCTCGGACCATTGCATGCTCCACTGAGAAACGGTAATCGAAGCTTTCAGCTGGCGATGGAAGCGTTCGATCAAACAATGGGCTGCAGGATAGTAAGCGGTTGTGCGTAAGTGAGAAGAACCGAGCAAACGACTCAGATCACGAAACAACGAAGAGATAACTGCGGACCTCTGTCTGTCGTGATAGTGGCAGGTATACCAAAGAAAAAAATCCACGTTTCGATGAAGGTTCGCGCTACCGTTTCAGAGGAAACGTCCCGTAATTCCACTGCGTGCGGCCAACGCGTAAATCTATCAGCACAAGTTAGTAAGTACTGAAAACTCTTGGAAGGAGGCAAAGGACCAACGACATCCAAATGAACATGTTTGAAACGAGCATCCAGTAGCAAAGAGGTGCCGAGGACAGTGATTGTATGGCGGTGGACTTTGCTGGTCTGACACGTAATACAGTGCTTTGTCCACTGTTGGATGTCAGAGCGCATATTGTGCCAAACAAAACGATTTGTAATCAGCTTAACAGTAGCCCGAATGCTTAGATACGAGAGACAGTGGAAATGCTCGAAAAGGATTCATCGGTATCGCTGAGGAACGTAGGATCGGGGCTTACCCGTAGACACATCACAATGAACTTTGGAGACCGAGTTAAGGAGCGGCAGAAGAGTAAGTTTATTCGAAGGGTTCGATTTCATCTGCATAAACTCAAGATCTCCCTCCTGATGAGCATCGATTTCCTCCAGATCGATTACCGGACGTGGAAGTTCATGAAGTCCTATGCGGGACATTGCATCGGCTACCACGTTATTAGTGGCGTCTATATGACGGATATCAGTTTTAAACTGCGATATGTAATCAAGATGTCGGGTTTCACGAGAGGAAAAACGGTCCGAAGAACCGCGGAAAGCAGACAAGTGGCTTGTGATCAGTAAGAATGGTAAATGAACGACCTTCGATGTGTCGAAAACGTTTAATAACAAGAGAGATGGGCAGAAGTTCTCTTCCGAAAGTACTATACCTGGTTTGTGCAGGTTGTAATTTACGGGAGAAAAAAGACCGTGGTTCGGGATGACCATCGATGAGTTGTTGTAAAGCGGCTCAAGCTGCAATCTGTGAAGTATCGGTTTTAAGAACGAGGTGTGCTAACATCAGTCCGTAAAAGGCTCGACGCAGTGACGCTGGACAAAGCATGTGTAATCTCGTCGAAAACGTTTGATGCTTCGTTCGTGGGTACAAATTGCCGAATCTTTCCTTTAAGCAAGTCAGTTAAAGGTTAAAGCAGTTTAGAGCAATCAGGTATAAAGTGGCCGTAATAATTCACCATACCGAGGAAACGGTGCAGGCTTTTGTAAGACTGCGGCATCAGATACTCTGCGATTGCCTTTGTTTTCTCCGGGAGTGGGATGACGTTACGATCGATTCGATGGCCGAGAAAAGCAACACTGGATTGGCCAAAGACACTTGTCCACCACCTTAATCCCAACGCCATAATGATCGGAACGCTCAAAAACTTGGTGAAGATGAAAGAGATGTTTTTCGTGGTTAGTGCTGGCCACGAGAATGTCATCGATATAAACAAAAACAAAATCAAGTCCTCGGAGAACTTGGTCGATGAATCGTTGAAAGGTTTGTGCGGCGTTTCGTAACCCAAAAGGCATACGAACAAACTTGAAAAGACCGAATGGTGTGGTTATGGCCATCTTGGAGATGTCATCAGGGGCGACAGGGATTTGGTAATATGCCCGGACTAGGTCAATCTTAGAGATTACTTTGCCATCTAGGTCGGTTGAAAAATCATGAATATGTGGTGCCGGATATCTGTCTGGGACTGACATTGTTTAGTTAGCGGTAATCACCACAAGATCGCCAATCTCCACAATACTTCTGGGGAACCATGTGCAAAGGTGAAAACCATGAACTATTAGAAGGTCGGATGATACCAAGAAGGAGCATGTGCTCAAACTCGGCTTTGGCGTTAGCAAGTTTATCGGGTGGGGGACTGTGAGGTCGAGACGTGACTGGTGATCCACGAGTAACGATGTCGTGCAAGGTCTCATGTTTAGGTTCGGGGCAATTATTGGACAGCAGATACAAGGCGGGGAACTGTTGTAGTAGCTCCGTGAACACAGTGTTAGTGGGTAGAGTCGTGCGAAGTCCGATCGAGCTGATCGAAGTGGCTCTGCCCAGAGTGGTAAGGGAGGTGATAGTATCACGAAGTTCCCTGTTGCGTAAGTCGACAATAAAACCAAATTTGATGAGGAAGTCGACACCGATGATGGGGCGTTGAACATCCGCGATCAGGAAGACGAAAGAAAAGGTTCGTCGGAGGCAAAAATCGAGTCAACAATTTCTGACCGTAGATCTGGATTTTTGTTATTAGCCGCCTGGAGAGTAGGTACTGTGGGAATGAGGTAGCGTTTTTCCATTCCACGAGGCAGAACGCTGACTTTGGCGCTGGTGTCAACCAAGAGTGAAAGGATGGTTATGGAATCACGAACAAAAAGCAGGCGACTAGAAGACTGGGCAGACAAAGTTATCGCCATTACCGACTGGCTGGTATGTTTCCCTGTAGAGCCTTGGGAAAGGCTTTCGGGTGCATGCAACCAGAGCGACAATTTATAGCGCCATCACCAAAATGCCGATAATAGCAAAATGTGCTGTGTAGTGTTTCTAACGTGTCTATTTCTACTGCTCGAAGTAGATTTAATACCGACTGCTGGGGCGACGTCCTCTCTTAACGGCAAGCACGAGTATGAACAGTCTCTGACAAATCGATTCAATGGAATCTGTTAACGTGGTAGTCTCAGGTAGTGTGCCAACAGCGTGACAGACTGGGCGCTGAAACACTCATGAACTTTGTCAGCCGTTTCTGCTAGTTTGTCAAGCGACAAATCGTCGGCGGATACAGAGAATCGACGCAGTACTGGATGGAAGACATTTGAGCCATAACTGACGTAATACGCTGTCATCAACTTTAACGGAACCCGCTAAAGAGCGCATATAAGGAGAAGCTGCGAAGGTGAACGATCACCCAGTTCAACTCCGGAAAGAAGTTGATGAAATCTGGCCTCATCGGAAGCTGTAAGACCTTTCAAAACAGCAGCATTAAGCTTATCGTGGGGGAATTCGGTAGGAACAGGGTCGAGCAGGTCTACCACCTCGGCGGGTGTATGAGAAGATGTGCAGCGATGTAGAAAAACATAGAATTTTGTGAAGTGATCCTACGGCAATGAAAAACAGCTAAGTGTAAAAACCAAACATGGACATTGTTGACGTCAAAAGCGGGTAAGGAAAACCAAAAAAATTTTCAGAAAAGACAGCGTGGGGAGTGGTACTAAACGACATTTCGTAGTTTAGAAAAATGAGTTCCATTAGGTAAAATACAGGAATCAGCAATTATGTAGTGGAGTAGAAACTAGTCCTAGACTACCGCAGCCTGTTGATAAAGCACGGGACCTAGGTGTCATTATTACGAATAGCTTCAAACCTTCAGCACAATGTCACCATGCTGCCAACAAAGTGCGGCAGAAAGTCTTTTACCTTATGTAACACTAGAGCGGAGGTATTCCTCCCATTATATAAAGGGGTGGTGCGACCCCACGGAGGTCGTTCTCCGGTAGCACTCCGGCAATTTTCTGAACTCTGTTCACATCACATATCCGCCCGATATTGGAGTATAGGCTTCCAGGTACCTATCCACTTTAAAAACCTGAATGCCACTTGCTAAAAAGAGTTCAGATGCATAGCTCGAAATCCCTCATGGAACTTCGTGGTCTTG